TGACATTTGTGAGAGTGATTTACATGAGTTCGGGTCCTTTGCTGTGCGGTACAGAACAAGATTCATTGTCCTCACCCTCCAGAGGACCTTGCAGAGTCATGCACAAATGATCATCCAACACCACCTCTTGTTATTTCCAAAGCAAAGCTTTGATTTGATTTTTAAATAGGCTCTGTTCTCCCACTCTTGCACGTGACTGGTGTCTGCACTGTACGTGTTCCTGGGTCTACATCAGTCTTTTCACCTCAAAGATGTGACATTTTATTGCTTGGGTAGGGGGAGGGTGTTGTCCCTCATGGGACTCCACCAAGAGTAGAAATCTGTTATTTTGTGCTTGGAGAAAGCATTGCTTGTGTTCTGTTTATACAGTAAATATGTTCCAGAAAGTTTTGCCTGTATAGCAAATCATGTTTTAAATGCAGTCCGCAAGCTCACTTATACCAAGGAAACCAGTGCTCACTCCTTTGTGGTATATATAAACACTCACCACAGGCGCCTGGTGGCTCTGTTGTTGGGCATCTGCCTTTGGCTCAGGTCGGTGTCCCGGGGCCCTGGGATTGAGCCCCGCATCGGGCTCCCTGCTCAGCGGGGAGCCTGCTATTCCTTTACCCTCACCCCACTTGTGCTCTCTCTCTCTCCCCCCCCACATAGGTAAAATAAATAAATAAATAAATAAACACCACACCTAGGAAATATCAGGAAACTAAGGGGAGCTTCAGTGTCGTTGGTTCAAACGCTCATTAAGACCCTACACCACATGAAGGAAGCCGGTGACTCACCACGCCTCGCATGGTCCCAGCACCCTTACAGAGCCCACGGTCTTGGGGCAGGGTGTGAATGTGGGGGAGTGAGGCCCAGTCCCTGATGTCAGGGCCCCCATTAGTCATGCACAGGAAGCTGGGCTCTGGGGCACTAGGGAGCCATCCCCACAGGCCCCTCTGACCACACACCCGCATGCTTACGTGGACTGGCCAGGAGTCCGTGGGGCAGGAAGCAACTCTGGTCTACAGGCTCCATGTGCCAGCCATGGAATCAGTCTGTCTGGCTTCACCACCCCTGACGGAACTATGGACAAAGTCTCAAACCTCTCTGCTCCTCTGTTGTCAAATGAGGGGAAAGCATAATACTTCTGTCTGAGGACTGTTATGAGAATCGAGTGAGATAGGATGTTCCAGTACATAGCACGGTGCCCGGCTTGCAGTGAGCCCTCATTTGATATTGGTCATCACTACCAAGATTGGAGCCTTCACCTCAGTGGTGCCCATTCCACCGAAATAGGTATTCGTTTTCTCTTGCTGTGTAACCAGTTACTACAAACGTAGCAGCTTAAACAGCCCCCGTTTATTAGCACACAGTTCTGAGCATCTGGGCATGGTGTGGCTGAGCTCTCTGCTCCCAGGGCTGCATTGGCCAACAGCATTCTCATCTGAAGCCTTGACGAGGAAAGAATCCATTTCCAGGTTCTTGGCCCACTTTAGTTCCTTGTAGTTATAGGACTGAGGTCCCCATTTCTTTGCTTTCTGCCATCTGGGGGCTGTGCTCAGTTCCTAAAGGCCACATAGCCCCCTCTATCTGCCAAGCCAGCAGTGGAGAACATCCCCACCCCCCTCCACCAGAATGCCTCTTACACTTGGTATCTACTTCTCCAGAGAGAGCCCAGTCCCTTTCAAGGGCTCACTTGGTGAGGTCAAGTCCACCTGGGATAATTTCTCTTTGTTAAAGTCAACCATGCCAAATAAAATAGCCTAATCAAGGGAGTGATTATCCCATCAGTCACAAGTCCTAGGGATGATACGGGGTTTGTCACACCAAGGGCAGGAATCTGGGGCATACCTTGGAGTTCTGCCTACCACACCACCTTTTCAGCAAGGCACAGATTTTCACTCCTTCCTTCCATTTGGCAGCAAAGAAGCAGAGTCCTCTGTATTCTTTTTTTTAGCCGTCTGGGACTACTGGCTGGACCCCATACCAATACTGTGGTTCAGGCCTCGAGTATTTATATGCCCAACATCCCATCCCAGCTGTGGCAGGGACTTTGGGGAGTGTCTGCACTTCCAAGACGGTCCAACGTGGTCCTGCTTTCTCTCCAGCCTCCCCAGTCAGCACTGGCCCTTCTGTCCTGGTGTCCCCAGAAGACAGCACCACCCCTACTCTCTTGTGGGTGGTGTCCTACAAAGAGGAAAGTCCCATCATAAAGGATTGAAAGTGCTGGGAAATTTGGGTGACAGGTTCTGTGTCCCAACAGCCATTGCTACCAACGTGGCACTCATCTGTCTCTGAACGTCTCGCTTCCAGCACTTCTGTGGTGAAAACTAAAGCAAGCTTTTCCTACACTTTCAAGGGATTTGTTTTCTCTATGGAGAATGTAGCTAGATACCTCCGGTTGATTCTTGTGGGTGTTTCCAATCTGACAAGGACCAAGAACCCCCTGCCATGGCTTTTCTCCCCAGAAGTCAAGTCATTTCTGATGTATTTCTGCACATCTCACCCTCTTGCCTCATGGTGTTACTGTTGCCCAGAAAAGGGTGGTTGCTCATTAAACCACCAGTTCTTGCCATGTTCCCAGAGAAGTGTATGAGACTGTGCAGTCGATCTACAATTCAGCTTTAAATTCTTTTTCAACTGTCCCCATCTCAGTTGCTTGTGTTTGGTTTCTAGGTTCCCTTCCTTGTTCCTTTACTTTTATTATGATTTTCACCCAGGTAAAGTGGAGACCAGCTAAAGGGATGGTGAATGGTACCAGCAGGAAACATGCCACATCAGAGTGCAGGCCAGTGTGGCTCGACCTGTCACTCTTCCAAGTCTGCGCTGTCAGCAGCAAGGATGGGAACTTAGGCCTCAGGGCCCTCACTTCTCCACACCCACCTAGGTTGGTTTCTGAGACAGAAGTGCTCACACTGCTGAAATTAAAATTATTTGTTGTCACTTTCACCTGCCTTCCTCCGGCCATCCCTCCTCTGCCTCCAAGTTTATGTGTCTCGAGAGAAGGTAATTTGCTTTTGCAGAAGACTGCCAATGGCCTTTCCCCCTTTTTGGTACCTAGCTCTCTGAAATCTTCTCTGAAGTCCTGCAGCGTTATAACCTGAGCGTACGGGTGTTGCTTTACTGAGTGGCGTGCAAGGAAGCGTGAGCTTATCTGTGTTTGATGTGCACCTAGCAGCCGGACCGTGGTCTGGGGCGTCGATGGAGGGAATGTATGTTCAGCCAGACTCATTCTGGATCAAAGCAGCCTAGGCGCAGAATCGGGGATAGGGTCCATCTTTTATGTCGGTTTCAGTCGATCACTCGAGGGCTTATGTGAAGAAGGATTCTGAGGCCACATGTGGCCAGCACCAGACGGTGCGGGTGTGGCAGTCCTCGGGTTCTCTCTTTGACAACTCTTCCCTGAGTTGCTTAATGCTGTTGGCACACATAAGATCCACAGGACTAAGGAAATTTTATGTAAATCAGGTTTTCCTTGCGTAATAGAAAGAGAGCCCTTTGGTTTTGCCAAAGGACTGAAGAATAGGGGGGCTTCGTGGCTATAATCCAGACACCTCGACCACAGTCACAGGATCTTATTGGTCAAAGTGCTTGTCCATCAGTTTCTCTAGGCACAACAACATGCAGAGAAGGATGGCCATGAGTTCCTGGTGTAGGATTTATTCTTCAGAGTAATTCCAAGGTCCCACTTTTGGAACAGCATTATTCCTTGTTTCCCAGTGCCCCACAGATCTCGGGCAAGTATATTAGTACATTATATGTTCATAATGGACCTACAGCATTGGCCATAAACGCCACACCACAGAACCATATGTAATAAAGGATGTTTTTATTTTAACTCAAATGTTCAGAAGTTTGTCTCATGGCAAGGAGTCTGAAGTCATGTTCGGTACAGCTCACAGAGCGGCTTCTGACTCTTCCGTCAGGAAATGGTTAGTCTGACCGCCCCAAGTGGGAGGAAGAAGACCACAAGTTCTTACACAAATATTTTCATTGTGATTAACTTTTAATGTCTTGAGCCTGCATTGACTGATTTATTTTGGTCTCTTTATGTTTGTCAGCAAAGGGAAGAGAGTAAGCAAGACCTGTGCAGAAACATTTCTTACTCTAAACTGCAAATGTATGAAGTGGTAACAGAGCTGTCCCTTCTACAAAAGAAAACTGTTTTCTCCAAAATGATTTTGACTGAGTTTTGGGTTTTTGCATTGTAATCATTTAACAAATATTTATTGAGCTCCTAGAGTGTATAGCACTGTTCTAGACCCTCAGGATGGGATAATAAAACAAAACCAAAAAATAAGCTGCCATCAAGGAGATTACTGTTTGTTTCCTTTCATTATTTCATAGGTCTATATATGGTGTTAGTTGTTTATTCCAGTGGTAATGCTTTTTCTTGGTGGATTGTGAAAGATGAGTTTTTTCTTAGTTTGGTTAGATATAAAGTCCTGTTTTCAGTGGGGTTCTGATGTGTCATTTCTGTTTTCTTTTGTTGCAGTTGAAAGAGTAGTTTGTAATGAGAGTTCTCATTGGTTTAGATTCTTTTCTCTATCACAAGGAACAATCTTCTAGGGAAGAATCAGCATTTCATACCAATTTTTAAAATTGTGCCCTTCTACCTAGCCTGCCTGTTCTCCTAAGAAGGGCATTGTGAATTGCATGTTGATCACACATATAAGGGAAACAGCTGTTATATACTGTTTCGAAGATATGGATATAAATTCTTTCTCCTCCATAAATCAGGATTTCTCAACCTTGAAGCTACTAACATTTGGGGCCGATTAATTCTTTGCTGCTGGAGGCTGTCCTACATTGTAGAATGTTTAGCAGCATCCTTGGCCTCTACCGACTAGGTACCAGTAGTACCTCTTATCCCTGAGTTGTAGCAACCAAAAGTATCTCCAGACATTGCCTATTATGTCCCTTGGTGGGGGTGAGAGGAATAAAGTCAACCCCAGCTGAGAATCGCTGATGTAAATGATGTGATACTGTGACTCAGGTCTCACATCTTCTAATTACAGTAGATCAGTGAAATGCCTGAAAAAAGTGCCTGGGACAAGAACTGTCTTCTGTCTGGCCTTTGTGGGAGCTCAAATCAACTTTCTGCCATGAAGGAGTTAATATAAAGTAAGCAAGACATTTATCAATTCTATGAAGCAATACCAACAAGAAATGATGAAATTCCTTCAATAAATCATGCCTTGGACATAGTTTGCATTTCCTATTGGAAATTTTTTAAACTGACATTCATCTAACATAAGTTAGAGAGCATGTTGGACCCAGTATACTGTAAGTTAATCTCGAATGATTTACGCTTAAATGTGTTCCAGATTGGGTGATCTCAGCTCAAGCAGTAGGTGGCTCATTTCCCGACATTTCCATTCTCAGGAACTGACAGTGAATTCCATAAGTATTTATTGAAATGTGTAATGTAAGAGGATGTTAGAGCAGTCTGATGCTGCTTTCATGTCCCTTTTCCCCAGAAAAGCAGTGCTCAGAGCAGTGCCGCCCGCCAAGAGTCTCTGTATCTGATGTGGCATTCCCCACTTTGGATTGCAAGATACTAAGAAAAACTAGTTCTTTCTTTCTTCTTCACTACTGCAAGTCCCTTCCATTCCTGTACCAGCTTTGCCCTCTCCGGTGAACACATGTAATTACACATGGTGTCATGTGTTTCTTATTTGATCCTTTGGTTCCATATGGGCCACTCTTCAGAGTTTTGGAAGGGGCATCCATTGCATGTTCTACCTACCCCCATCAACCTGACGGAGTATTATAGTCCAAAGTACGATCATTTAGACGAATTAACCTTGTATTTCTGAATCCTCTTTCTTTTTCACACATACCAATAGATTAAAAAATGCAGGGTCAACTGCAAATGTAAGTCGCTGAGAGAAGGGATGGTCTTGGATGCAGAGAGAAAGGGTGAAAGAGAAACAGACTGGGCTAGAGAATCTTCACTCATTTGATTGCTGTTTATCGAGCACCTCCTGTGTGTGCCAGGCATTGGCATTATAGCTCTGACAAAAGTGGACAGGGCCCTGTTTTCCTGGAACCCGCAGTCCACTGGGCAATGAGATAAGTGGACAAGCCATGTTTTAATATGGCACAATAGGTGCCATGATGGGAGAAATCAGGATGCCATGGGAGCACTTAGAAGGAGCATCCCCCCAGCCTTGGAAGGCGGGTACAGGGATCAGAGAAGGCTTTGCAGAGGAAGCAGTGTCTTACCTGGAACACGAAGAATATGTTGCACATCAGGAAAAAATGTTCAAGGCCACATTCCAAGGCCTAAAGCAAAGCAGAAAAAATTGAACCTTGAAGTAACTGAGAAGTTCGGCATGTTTGGATAGTAGAGTGTGAGACGGGGAGAGTGAGAAGTAAAAAGGAAGCAAATAAGGTTGCTTCTCAGGATTCTGACTTGAGCAAGTCAGTCATTGATGGTGGCATTTCTACGATAAGCACAGGAGAAGTAGGTTGGAGGAGGGTGGGGTGACAATGACCTGAGTTTTTAGTCCACCACTAACTCTAGAACATGAGATTGATTTTTTTTTAATATTTTTGAAAGATGTCAAAAGCTAATGGAAATTTGGAAAGTTAATTAGCAGCTGAAAATGATTTTGTTACTGTAGGCTATCATGACATCCTGCAAATATACCCAGACCTCTTAGTTTCTACCAATTTTATTTTATTTTTTAATTTTTTTTAGAGGGGGGAGAGGCAGAAGGAGAGGGAGAGAGAGAATCTTAAGCAGGCTCCACGCCCAGCGCAGCGTGGGGCTCGATCTCTCGACCCTGAGATCACTACCTCAGCCAAAAGCAAGAGTCAGACGCTTAACCAACTGAGCCACCCAGGCGCCCCTAATTTTATTTTTCATCCAGCAATGATTTCTTAATTTTGATACTTATCGTCATCTTACTGCTTAAAATTTACCAGGTGTGTGCCTGAAGAATGGGTACCCGTGAGAAAAGAAGTATGGTGAGCTGTTCAGGAGCTGTCTTCTGGCTTTTCCAGCATTCCTCCACCCTCTTGCTTAGATTTTTTTTTTTTTTTTTTTGCCATAATGGAGGTTTTTGGTCTCATATTGCATGGACTCACTTCCTAGAGCATACATTATTGTTTTAGATGACTAAAGAAAAGCATAATAAGTAGTCTTGGGCTATCTTTAAGGAGGTGTGTAATGTTCGAGGATTTTAAGGGGTGCAGGCCTCATGTGAGGACCTTGCTGCCTGGCGACCATACGCTGTGTGGCTCCTGTCACCCAGAGCACATGGGGAACGAATGTGATTGTCAAGTTTAGGGCCGTGAGATCGCTTCTAACCATCAGCCCTAGCCACTGCTTTTCCTCCTTCCCTTTTAGGCCTGAAATAGCCAAGGGCGAGCCTTATAAATGACCCAGCAACCCAGCAGCTAAGGAGCATGCAAGTTCACGTGCCTCCCTTTTGTTTTCGGCAGGAATTTAGATAATGGGCTGTGTGCAATGTAAGGATAAAGAAGCAACAAAACTGACGGAGGAGAGGGACGGCAGCCTGACCCAGAGCTCCGGGTACCGCTATGGCACAGACCCCACCCCGCAGCACTACCCCAGCTTCGGCGTGACCTCCATCCCCAACTACAACAACTTCCACGCAGCGGGGGGCCAAGGACTCACCGTCTTTGGGGGTGTGAACTCTTCATCTCATACCGGGACCTTGCGTACCAGGGGAGGAACGGGTAAGAATTAGGCTGTTCTTTATTCTTTTGTCAATTGAACATTTGTGTTCCAGTCGGCTCCCTTTGACTAAGGATTTAACATTACATTTTTCATCATCAGTCTCCATCTACCCACTGCCAGATGAAGGGCTATTAAAACAAACAGGGCTTGATGGACAAATGAAATGCTGGCTACAGTGGTGCGAGGTGGCCCCAGGTAGCTGCTCTGGGAGGACTCTGCATGGGTTAGGAGATAACAGCTTCTACTAAGGTACTCGAGGCCAATCAGTGGTCTCAACCTTGGCTGGCTGACTCAGAATAACTAGCAGCGTTTTCAAAATGCTGAGTCCCATCCCACATCTTTCGAATCAGAAGCTCCGGGACTGGATCTGAGAATGTATGTTTTGAGTCCTCTGGATAACAGTGCACTTTCCTCCCATCCCCCAGTTAAGAGCCACTTTGCAGGGGGTAGCACCTTCTCCCTCATCTTCCTAATTGTCAGCCTGCCTGTCACCTCCCAGCCAGTGGGGATGTTTGGCAGCATTTGTTTTGGCCACTGATCTTCATTAATTCTCTTTCTGATCTTCCCATCATCTTCCATATGACAGAGTTTATCAACCATCAAGTGTATCGTTTATCTCTTGTATTTCAAAATCAAATGTTATGTATCCTTAAGGAATCCTTCTCTTTTTCTTTTAAGTTTCCTTCTCTTTCCCACCATGAGGCTCTGTTTTACTGCCATGTACATTTGCTGACTTAGCTAATACTTTGTAAAATATCTGGCATACATTCTCAGACATATGTTTTGCAAAATATTTAAAAGTTATCTCATACATCCTTAGCCTTCCAGATCATCTCCCAGCATGTGAATCATGGTAACTAGATACTTGACATTATTTGTTCCAAAACTGTTTTGTTTATTAGAAAAGTTTAAAGAAATATACATCAACCATTGTGCTCTTGGCTCATCTGGGAGCAGAAGTCTTATATAAGGACTCACTGTGCCTTTTTATCTGGGGAGTTGGCACTACTGAGACATTAGCAGGGTTTTTTTCCCTTTGCATGCAACATGGCAGTGTGGTTATATCCAGGGGACCTGACCCAGAGCTTTGGGCATTGTATCATTGTGTTGTAGTGGATCCAACTTTCTCTTTAAAGTAGGCCTCGCATGAGCTAATGAATGTTAGTATACTTACTAATCTTTCCTACCTTCCTGGAAGGCACCTGGGATGGAGGGAAGAAGGAAAGAGGCATTCTATGGAAGTCTGTCTCTGAGGATGCAGAAGGGGAAAAAAAGAGCCAAAAATGCACCAGCACACATTTCCTGTGCCTGCTGAGTTCTTTGCCAACCAGACTGAATTCTGCTGATGCAGACATTGACCTTGTTCATTCACTCATGAATGCTGGATACGAATCCCTGTGTCTGCAGGTATCATTCATAAAGTCACCAGAAGGGAATAGTTGCCTTGAACATGGGAGTCTCTACTGTAGTCAGGGACAATCTTTTTTTTTTTACATTTTTTAAATTTTATTATGTTATGTTAATCACCATACATTATGTCATTAGTTTTGATGTAGTGTTCCATGATTCATTGTCAGGGACAATCTTAGTATAAGAGGCCACCTGGTCCCTTTTAAAATTTGGAAGTTAAAATCTAGTACTCCCAAATGTTGGCAGATTTCTCTGCCTTGTATTATTTGGCTTTGTTATATGTGCATATCTGTCTCTCCACCACTGCTTTTAGTGCTTTAAGGCCAAGAACAGTGTCTGTGTGCCCTGTGACCTCCTTTGACTCTCCTCTCCGTCCTTAAAAGATAAAAACCCCAGTGAGAACTTGCCAGCCGATGCAGGGTGAGAGTGGGAGATTGGAAGTGTCCATCCTCGTGTTCCTTGTCTTCCACACAATGGAGCTTGGGTTTGTTTTCAAATTATGTAACAAAAGGAATCTGTTAATAGAGTGTTCAGTGAGAATAAGCATGACCTTACAGGCTTCCACTTTTTTGTTTTAAGCCAGTCTCTTTTCCAACCTTTCAAAGAAATTTAAAGTTGCCAAATGAGCCCTGCTGCTTTGTATGGTCAGACCGTCAGAATGCCAGTCCTCCTACAGGAAGCCCCACTTGGGATCGGGTGGCAAAACAAGCCCCACCTCCTTCTCTGGTTTGCGAATAGCCCCACAGGCACATCTGCTCCCTTGGAAGTACGTACACAGCAAAATGGCAGTTTGCTAAAGAGTGGAATCCATGTTGTGTGTTCTTTAGGCCACAGCAGGCACTTTGAAGTGTGCGGAGATCAAAATGAGGAGCCAGAGAGCAGAGAAATGGAATGTATTAGTTAATAATTGCTGCATAACATATTACCACGAACTTAGCAGCTTTAAAAAAATACATATTTAGGATCTCACAGTTCCTGGGGGTCAGAAAACCAGGAATGACTTTACTGGATCCCCATTTCAGAGCCTCTCACTGGCTGCAATCAAGGTGTGTTGGCTGGCCTGTAGTCACTACCTCACAGCCCAACTGAGAAGGATCTGCTACCAAGCTCGTGTGGTGCTGGCAGGACTCAGTTCCTCATTGGCTGTTGGCCAGAGGCCACCCTCAGTTCTTTGTCATGTATGTCTTTCCAACATGGCAGCTTGCTTCATCAAAGTGTTCAGGCCAAAGTGGCAGTACAGAGCGTCTGCAGGGAAGACAGAAGTTGCAATCTTTTGAAGACTAATCATTTATGGGACATCCCATCACCTTTGCCATGTCCTGTTGGTTAGAAGCAAGTCACTAGGCTCACCCACACTCGGGGGAGGGGGATTACACAAGAGCATGAATACCAGGAGGTGGGACTCATAGAGGACTACCTTAGAATTCTACCCACTACATGAAGGAGGTCCTAAGCCAAATGGGATGCAGGAGATTTTCTGTTGTCGATAGCAGACTTGTGCAGAGCAGGAAGGGCCTCTCTGGGGAGTCCACCAGATGAGAAAATGTAGGGTGGTTATGAGGAGGAGTAAGGACTACAAATCAGTGCAAGGATAGGCAAATTTGTGGTAGGAGAGACGGAGTCCCCAGAGCAATTGCAGATGCCAAAAGCAAGACATCCTCTAACTGGGGTGAGCATTTATGGAGAGGGTCTTCTCAGTCCCAGGCTGCAGAAGGAGTTTCCTGTTACATTCTCCATTACTGTGATCTCTTTTACCCTGGACCTAACATGGGCTCTTGAGAGGAAGGGAATTTGTATCTTTAACTGCTGCAGGCCTCACAGCTCTGAACTGTAGCACCACTGCTGCCCCTCGGTTGTGGACATAATGCTAACGCCTGCCTCTTCCCGAGGACTCAGAGAGAAGTGCACCTCCAGCTCTAGGCTTCAGTCAGACCAAATAATGCTTCCCCTACAAAGACCAAGGCATAACTTCAGCCCTGCAGCCCTGGTTGCACACATTAACTACATCACCACCACACCATATTATGGTTAGATGTAGATTTTGAGAATGAGATTTTAGTGAAGAGCTCATTTCTTGGAATTAATTTCCCCTTGTGTAATAATCTCTCCCCTTCTGATTTTGTTTTGTCAGGAGTAACCCTGTTTGTAGCCCTTTATGATTATGAAGCACGGACAGAAGATGACCTGAGTTTTCACAAAGGAGAGAAATTCCAAATATTGAACAGCTCGTAAGTTCGGGGAGGGACAGGGAAGTATGCATATCCTTCAGATTGGGAAAGGATACTTGTGTTACCAGTCTGTGCCTTTTTAGTCTCTGAAGTGCTAAGAGAACACTTGGTAAATTCATTAATGTGTAGCAGTTGAACTTGAGAAATGAGGAGTTGATGAGCCAGTGCAGTATTTTCTGGCACTGGTGTCCAAGGAGCTTTTGGGGGGCCAGCATAGTAGCAGAGTTGATGCTTTCGGTTTACAGGTTGGAAAAGTTCCCGTATTGCCCCCTGTAGATCTGCATTTTCAGATGACTGGCACAAAGCTTGGCTATCCACATTACCCTCTCTCTGCCTTGAGATGGGTTTTTTTGTTTTGTTGCGTTTCGCAAGTTGCACTAGCTGAGCCCTTATTGACAGCTGGCAACAAGTTCCTTCTGTTTTCAAAACTGCTAAATATTCTGATTGGTGAAGCCTGTGGAGGCGTTTCCCCAGACTGAAAATCCGCGAGTGACTGAAATCTTTGTGAGATGGAAGGAGAAGGAACTTCGCCCACTTGTGAATGACTACAATGCGTGCATTTTAGATGTGACCAGTAGGAACAACAGTTAAATAGGCAGTGGGGAAGTTTCAAGGGTCAGAATCACTCATTGTAAGGGTAGAATCAAATTCTACATTTAATACCTATAAGAAGAGTAAATATAGGTATATATGGCATTATGTGTAGGCGTATTTCCCTGTAGTTTTTAAATATTGCCTCTATTAGGTTAAGGCAGTGTGCCTGCCCAAAAACTTCTGGCTTCAAAGAAAATGGTGGTGGGGGCTCCCGGCTGGCGCAGTCAGTAGAGCATACGTCTCTTAATCCTGAGGCTGTGAGTTCGAGCCCCACATTGAGTGTAGAGTTTACTTTAAAAAAAAAAGGGAGGGGACGCCTGGGTGGCTCTGTCAGTTAAGCATCCGACTCTTGATTTTGGCTCAGGTCATGATCTCAGGGTTGTAAGATGGAGCCCATGCGGGGCTCTGTGCTGGGCACGGAGCCTGGTTAAGATTCTCTCTCTCCCTCTGCCCTCCTCCCCCACCCAAAAAAGAAAAAAAAAATGGTGATGTCCCCATCAGCAAGTCAGGCCTTCTCCTCCGTCCTCAAGTTTTCCTTGTGAGTGCTCTGCAGGGACCAGGGAGGAATGCCACCCCAAGGCTGAGGGCCCACCAGGAAGTTCTCCTATGCTGCTGGCCCCACTTGCTCTGTACTCCATTCCCTGAGCAAACTGTGAGGGCAGAAGAACCAGTCAACGCCTGGCACTTGAGCTTTCCCCAAGAGCTCCAGCAAGAGGAGAGGCAAGCGAGGGGAGCTAGAGGCGCCCCAGAGCATCCCCTTCCTAGGAAAGAGAAGTGGTCATTGTTTTTTTGTTTTTTTTTTTTCTGGCACTTTAAGTTTTATTTAAATTCCAGTTAGTTAACATACAGTGTAATATTAGTTTCAGGTGTTTTTCTATATTTCAATGACCATGGCTAGTACAAATTTTCAAATGGACTATGACTATTTTTTCCAATAAATATCTCTGAAACACGCTAAGTGCAGACAAAATATAAAAAGCAAAGTAAAATCTACCTTTACCAGAAAATAATGATTATTCTTTGTGGACTATTTCCTTTCCAGTTATCTAGTTCCTAGATAAAGAATCACTCTGTGTATAATATGATACTATTGTGCATCTCCTCTGAGGTCAGATATTTGTTTTCACTACAATGAAATTAAATGTAGAGAGATTTCCATGTATTGACAAATGTGTAAGAAAACGTCCTTCCTTCTTCCCTGTACTAGAAGTGGTCATTGTTAACAGGGAACTCCCTCAGGCCTGAAAACTGCCTCCTTAGAAAGCCCACCCCTTCCCTGGGACACCCCCAACTCTCAGAATACACCACCTTTCAAGGACAAGAGCTAGATTCCTCCCACAAGAGGCCAGTCACTCTTCTGGATCTCAGAGAACTGTGCCTACATAGTAGCCACGGGGTTGTTGGGGTTTTTTAAATTATTATTGTCATCATTAATGGGTATGGGTGGGGTTTTTTTAACTATTTAAATACATGCAGAAAACCACACGTATCAGAATGCGCGTGGTGGTGGTCGCACAACAATGTGAATGTGCTTAGTGCTGCCCATTACACTTAAAAATGGTTGAAATGGTAAATTTTGCTATGCATGTTTTACCACAATGTTTTGGAAGTGTACAGTTTGCTGTATTTGCACAAACTGAACATGTCTGTGCAACCAGCCCCCAGATCAAGAAGAACGTGGCCTGCCCCCTCAAGGCCCCTCACAGCCACAGAGATTTTTTTTAAGTAGTAAACAGCTGCCATTTATTGAAGGCTCCTGTGTGCCAGCCACGTACTAAGTTGCAAGTGTTCTTATTTATTCTTCATGGCATTTGTCTGCCATGTGCCTCACTGTCATCGTTTGACATATGAGGAGCCAGAGGCTCAAGTTAGGTAGCTGCCCAGGTGCACAGAGGAGCTAGCAGGCGGCAGAGCCAAGGGTGAGGTGTGGGGATGGCATCCTGAGTACTGTGTCGGGTTTGGTCTCGGAAAGGCCCAGAGGGGACTGAACCTTGCAAGATACATGAAAGTTTGGAAGGTTGGCTGGGAGGTGGGGGAGAGGGGAATTTGGCTTTGATCTCTTCTGATTTATGATTGCTTATTGTTATTTTGATTCTCTGATGAATGCTTCTCCTCAGAGTCTACTTACTTTGAATTAGGAAATACCCTCCACTTCCCCTCCCCATTCTTTGTAATATTCTCTCAGTCCCAAAATCGGTTAGAACTTTTAACCAGCTTCTGAAAGGTGAGAACTAAGGAGTAGTAGGAAGTACCACACAACTGTTCCTCTGCGGGTTTTGTCCATACTGCAGGGGGATCTACACATCGGATCCTAGGCAACTTGGAAAGCCAGTCCTTGCCAAAGTCAAATTCCTGACTTCTTCCTTTGTTAATCTGAATAGGTTCTACGATGGCAATTAATTGAAATTTTGGAGAAACATTCCAGGAAGATCCAGTCTATCTCAGTCGGTATTTTATGATTTGCATGCATGGCCTCTAGTGTTTACAGGCTTTGAGCCTCTGGCCTTGTTCTCTTAGAAGAAAATATTACAAAGGTTTTTTTCCCTTATTTAATGTTCTTCCTTCTTGCCAGTGGAATTCCTCATCCTACATGCCATTTAAATGCCCTTTTCCAAGGTTATGGGGGGAAAAAATAAGGTTTTTACAACAAATACAGTATCTTGAAGTAAGGGGTAATAACAGGGAAGAGGAAATCATGAAGGACAAACAAAGCAGTAATAGAGAACCAGATGGCCTGCGGCTCCTTCCCCTCCCCCAGCCCCTCCCAGCCCCAGGCACTCCTCCGCTGGGTGGGGGGAGGGGATGGCGCTCTGCTCTCCCTGGGGCAGCTACCGCACCACCTAGTGCATGTGTCCTCCCACCCCGTACCCCGTCCAGAGGCAGAAACCGGAGGCGGCAGGGCTGGCCTTTGTGTGGTACATGCATGTGCTTGTGCCCAGAGCCAGTGGGCACTGCTGCCCAGCATAGGCTAAGGGTTCTTCACGGACCTGTTACAAGTGCTCAGTGCAGTGCATTTGGACATTATGAAACTTGAACCCATTTTACAAACTATGGAAATTTATCTGTTTTATTCCCTATTTTCACATTACACGTGAAATGTGAAATTTCACGTGAAATGTGAAATCCTTAGTGATTTACCACCTAAAAACACTGACTCTTTAAAATATAATAAACATGTTACACAGAGTAGAATAGTGCCTACAGTAGTGACTCCTTTAAAGTTCTTTTCATCTTGATAAGGAGAAATCCTGGGTTAGACTCCCATCTACGCATATGATAAAATTGTTATGGATATGCTCTCTGACAGTAAGATGGCACTAACCAAATTGAGAAAGAATATAGTATTTATAATAAAAATGCTCCACAGCTCAATGGATCAGGCTGACTTCTATGTGCAAATGCCACTTCCTGGCTGGATCAGGGGCCAACAAACCCAATGAGCAATTTTGGGGATTGAGAACAGGCTCTTTTAATACGTATTTAAATTAGAGGAATAGGGGAAGCCTTATAAAAACTTAAAAGTTATTCTAAACCAGAGCCTTAAATCATATATTTGAGTCAAAGCAAGATAACAGTTAAAGAAAATCTCACCAACACTGAATTAATGAAATATCTGAACTGTAAGAACAGGTTTTTTTAAAGTGCAGTTTTAATAATGTTAATTACTCACAATAATTTAAGAAGTAAAAAGTAGCATAGTAAAGATTTGTAAAGAGTATTATTTGTGGGTGTATTGGACTTCTAATGTATTAAAAAGATGATTTATTCATTTGCTCAAAAGATTTTTTTGATAGATGTTTTGAGTCGGTACCAGCCTCTCTGGGCCCAACCTGTGAGGCTTACTACATAATACATTGTTTCCTTGTCACCTCATATCGCCTTTGATGGAAAAAGTGACCCTGGATGGCCTCAAAAAAGAAAAGGATTTTATCTTTCTCATAGTAACTAAAAACCCTTGTGAGATTAATGGAGTCACTTAAGAGAAAATCATGAATTCCTGATAAATGACTTTAGAATGAGCTGATAGTTGGATTCTAATCTGTGCTAAACTATTTAGGTGCCAACATCAAAATGAGATATTAATACTGGATTTGAAATGGAAATTGTTGTTGACCCTTGAACAATGGACAGGTTAGGGACACCAGCTCCCCGCCACTGCATATAACCTTGACTCCCCAAAAACTTCTAATAGCCTACTGTTGACTGGAAGCCTTACCAATAATGTAAACAGTCAACACATATTTTGTGTATGTATTATATATACTGTGTTCTTAGAATAAAGTGAGCTAGAAAAAAGAAAATGTTATTAAGAAAATCCTAAGGAAGAGAGTACGTTTACTGTACTGTTTTTATTGGCAAAGATCTGCATGTAAGTGGACCCATGCAGTTCAAACCCATGTTGTTCAAGGGTCAACCATACTTGATTAATCCCAGATCATCTGATGGGGCATCTGGGTGGCTCAGTCATTAAGCTTCTGCCTTTTGCTCAGGTCATGATCCCCACATCGGGCTCCCTACTCTGTGGGAAGCCTGCTTCTCCCTCTCCCATTCCCCCTGCTTGTGTTCCCTCTCTGGCTGTCTCTCTATCAAATAAATAAAATCTTAAAAAAAAAAAAAAAAATCCCAGATCATCTGAATAAGACTGGGCTTGTCCCAGCCCCAGCAAAATATATTGGCTTCCTGCCTCAGGTGACATTTCCACGTCCCCCTGCATTGATACTAGACGGTCTTCTTAATTTAAATCAGTTAGAACTAACATGATGAAGGTTGCAATTAAAGATAAGCTTCTGCTGAAAGCTCTTAATTTTTTACTATTTTGGAGCATTTCCTGGGTGTGGGGTTTAGGAGGTGGATGGAGTAAGGGAAAGAGAAAGGAAAAGGTGGGGAGATGATGGGTATTGTTAATTTTTTTATGATGAAATGTCTCCATCTGGTGGAATTTCAGAGCAGTAAACACTGCTATCTTAAAAGCCTCCAAAGCCATTTCTTAGCATGTGTTCAAAAAAACTTAACTTCCACATGTGTTCCTAGATGATATAGTTAACAACTGCATGTATTTCTTTTAGAGGACATGGAAATTAAACCAATACAAACTGTTCAAAGGTTAACAATTTTAATTTTATGAGTTGAGGCCAAAAGGCAGAGGAATCCAGTAGGGGAGCAGCACAGAGTAGATTCCACACAATCAGTAAAGACCCAGCTCTTAAGTCGAGTGATGGGTTCACAGGTGTTCGTATACACATATATTCTCTGGCAT